AACACTTTTCGAGGGACTTTGGCCGGACTGCATCAGGAGTTTACAAACAATCGAAGGAAACTTATTTGAAGATGCCGCCTCCCCCCCAATTCCCAGTAAACAGGCCAGACCACATTACAGTAATCTCGTGAGTGGGTTCTTTAACGTCCCCTGCCTAACCAAATTAACTAATGAATAGATGCATTAAATGATTAATAGTGTTGTCTGTGAATCACAAAAGTGGCATTAGTGTTTTAGCGAATCTCAAATCGTACTTCGGGCTAAAACAACACGCATCTTATATCTTTCGATATTCAATTGCGCTTTCATGCTCTTTTTACCTTCAATGCGTTTATTTTTACTTTAAGAGATCCTCTCCTCGCGGAGCCTTGTCAGACATGGCAGCTATATGTTCATTCATTACAAAGGTAGGAAATACTTTATTGGTACTCCGAAAAGTTTGAATTAAAGGTCTCTCACAAACAGAGAAAATAAAAGAGTCAAATGTAAAACTACCTTACCTTAAAAAAAAAGATATTAGAAATTCACGTTTTCGTTTGGTTCATAAGTCTTATCACCTGATTCGCTGCAAGACGTTTGTTCGTCTCTGCGACTGATTTGTCAGTCTCCGCTTTTGTAATGAGGACTTCAAAAAACGCGGAACTGACTTGAACAAGTTTTATTGAAAAACTGACCGAGTATCTTTTAAAACTGCTGTTTTCCGTGCAAACTGTTTTAGAATCGACATGACCGCTTTCCGAGGTCAGAGCAGTCGCCTGTCTGTGATTTTACGAGGAACTCAGTCCAGTCGTCTTGTGCAGTGTTTCTTATCTCACCCCGAGGAATTACAGGTTAGTCAACTAATTCGTGCCGCAGGGAACATCCTATCGAAAATTCCTCCATTAAAATAATTAGAACCTCTCTTGGCTGTATCATGTTAGAAGCATGCCTAACACGTCTTACTGATTAGATTTTCTTTGGGATGAAATACAAGGTACATCCTCTTTAAGGAAATCGTGCAAGCGCCAAACCTCGCATTTCTCAGGGTCGCCACGCTAGTGTGTACGTATTTGCTGACAAACTTGTTTCCCCGCAGGTCAAGCCCACCGATCCAATCATGTTAATGGCTAATGCTGTTCATGAAGTCCATCTGACGGTACGACCCTATGCATCCGGGAGCATGCGCTATATGTATGTCAACGTGGTTGGTATCCTTTGCTACAACAACAACAACAACAACAACAATAACAACAACAACAACAATAACAACAACAACAACTTATCACCAGTAGGCTAACTTATTTGTATTGAGTAATCTGATAACTGTAATGGCGTCGTAGATCGCTAAGATTTTAGCCTCCCCACTCTAAATATAAGAAAATCAAGTAGTAACAAGCTTGAGATAACAAGCATGTGTTTTGATGGAAAATCGTTTTCCTTAACTACACTTATCAGATGTGGAATTTCATCAACTTGTGAGAACTTGGCTCGTTTGTGCCTCTTGTCAAATGCCTGTCATTTCTAAATCGTTTGAACTGCAGATACAAGTTGGCGGTGGAAAGGGTTCGAACAAGGTAGACTTTTTACATTGTTTTCTTGGTTAATCGTCGATTTTCTTTTTCAACGTGGTCGTTCGGAAGGCGTACGTAGACATCTTACGGTTGGCCTTTGAGCGGCAGTCGCTTGAAGCGGACGGCGCGTGGGTAATTCGTCAATTCCCGGGAAACCAGCAAGTAAATAACGACTGCAAAATGTTTCCCGGGTTATTTTACGGTAGACTGTTTCTATGTGAGAAATCGTTAGTCACAGTGATTATTTTATGTAGTCTTATCCTCAACATGAAAAAAGATGGTGCGTTTCTAGAGAAACTGCGGTGCTGCGTGGGTGGAAGGTATTACAAGATAGTCAAGTTTGTTTTACCAACTGAGTTGTAATTGTAAATTGGCCACCGTTGAAGAGTTTCGAAAGCTGACGTTTCGAGCGTTAATTCTTCGTCAGAGTGAATAAGACAGTATAACTTGCCTATAAGTTTGTAGTTTTTCCTGGAAAATCGTATAAAGTCGATGTTTAAGGAAAGTCGGGGTAAAGAGGGGCGGCACGTGGAGACAGCGTAACCGGCTTCTTGACTGAAAGGTATTTTGTTTTTCTTGTCAGCGTGTATCATTCACCAATCCTTATCCTACCAAGAAGACGTTTCATCTGAAAACTAACAGGCCAGACATGCTACAGTTCAAAGAGAGCATCATTGAGGTAAACGTACGACGAGTGTTGGTGCATAGTGTTCCTTACCACCTTGAGGTAGGGGAAAGCACTGGTTACACGCTGTCAAATGCTATTTTGCTGTTTATTTATTAGCGAGAGGGAAGGAAGTTGTCCGCCATCTCACAAAATTGACAAGGAGGAAGGGGGGAGGGGGGAGGTTGGTGTAATTATTTTACTATTTTCTTACTGAATCATTTACTTTGTATTACCAATCTTGCCATACCTTCTATGCTTGAATCTGCTAGGTTGGTACCGGAGAGTCACACAGTATTGGGCTTCGCTTCACTCCTCAACAGTTCCCGGGAAAATCTGAAATTCTTATCTTCATCAACGACTCGTAAGACAAAAATGAAGAAACGTTTAGCATCAACGTCGTCTATACGTAACACTCCGCAGGTTTGAGGTAAGGTTTGTTTCAATTCACTCAGTGTTCATGCTTGTTTCTTTCCGTGGTGTTTTTGTTATGAAAAAGTTAGGCTTTAGGGTGACGTAATTCTACGGTTTTTGGTTTTCATTCATCTTTATATCGTCCACCGGCTCAGTGTTCTCCAGAAATACCAGCGCTAGCGTTTTCGCCGGCTACTTTCAGCAGGCAAAGTAGTAAGATGCTTTCGTTGACCTCAAATAACTTTTAAACTGTGTTGGTTTTTTTACATTTTTTTTAGACTGGCTGCTAAGAAAGCTTTTGAGAACACACCATGGTTTTCTTACTTTATCAACTGTTTTCTTGCAGGCCCTACAAGAAACGTCTATTTTACTATGAAATGCTCCCAGGTGAAGATAAGAGACGCTTCAATTTTAGAACTGATAAGAAACGTATTTTACTTCGAAATTTGATCTCGAAAATATTTATTAATAAAGCCAACTTAATTGAAACAGCCTCCCGCGTGTTCTTTCTGTTGAATAACTGAAATTCGGAAAGATAACAATGCTCAAACGATCGACCTGAAAATGCGGATTAACAGAGTTGCACCTGTTGAGTCATGTGGAGAAATGTAACAATAGTCCCTTTTACAGCTGTGGGCTTGGTGGCCAAGCCTTTGAACAGGAGTAAGGCTAAGAGTGACCCTGTTGTGATAGAGACCTATATCTAGTTAGCATGATAACAAAGTAATTTGCATTTGAAGAGCAGTAACATCTCCATCATAACAAGGTCACCCTAAGCCTCACTCCTGTTCAAAGGCTTGGCCACCAATCCCGCAACCGTAAAAAGGACTATTGGCAGTGTGTGAAACACGTCAGGAACCTGTCACGCGTCTCCTCCCTTTTCAGACGCATCAAGTTACGTTCAAGGGAAATTGTACTCAAAATTTAGAGGAAAGAAGATTGGGTTACGATTCAATATATGCTGGTTGAAAAAGGGGGGCCCATAGCTCGCTCTTGTGTTCAGATCCCGTTTTTTCGGAGGGTGGATAATGCCATGCAGGGGAAAAAAATCCCTATCTGGTGGATAAGGTAGTACGTTCGCTTAACTCTTATCCCCTGGAGACTCCGCTGGATAGTAATTTATCCGTTAGTTATCTATCTCTTCTTCGAACAACTGGTCAACCTGACCACTAAAAAGATGTCAAAACCATTGGGATAATGGGCCTGTAACGACTAGAATTTGAATTTCCATTTGCACTTGCGAAATTATTATTTATTGTTTTTCGTTATAACGTAGTACTATTGTACTTTCTGTTTCTACTCTATTAGGTTTGTGTTTTTTCGTATGGTTCTGTAAGAATTACGTGACGCCGATGACTATATATTTTCATAGCATGCGCGTTGTTTTCGTGGGGGTATCTTCATTTCAAGTTGATTTCAACAAATAAAGTCGTTTCGTTAGTTTTTGCGACCAGTGCCGTGTTGTTCTTCGTCAATAGATTTTTATTAACGGACCAGGTTATACCACAAATTTCGCATAAAATGCCGAGATACAACTACATATCTTTCGCCACGAAACAAATCCACACACGCGTATTCACGTATTTACGAGTTTTTTAAATCAAATAGAGGTCCGTCGTAAAAATTTATTGAGAGTGCATTCGTTTTGTGGCAACATACATGTTGTTATGCATCTACAGGGCCGATCAACTCGAAGCTTCAACATCGCCCCCGGCTGTCCAACATTTCGAAGATTACTTCGTTCAAATTCCCGCCCCCATTGCCATTGCCTAAGAATGTTTACTTCTCATTTGTTGGGACGCCCACTGCCTCCCCTGCTACTCGCAGTGTTGGTCTGTAAGATGGCATACGAATTTCAATGAATAGGGAAGAAGGGTGACAGAACATCACAGACGTTCCTTTGGAGAGGTGTCCTTTAGTTATACCTAGGACTGTAGCTCTTTGACCCTTTACACCCTAATATCAGTATGCATATTCTCCATACTGTTCTCTATACATTTCTTAAGGCACTGACAAGGAGAATTTGTTTCCTTTATTCTTGTGACCTTAAAGTGTGATGAGGAGAAATTTACTTTAGCGGGTCATAGGTTTAAGGAGCCGTTTTTGTTTAGTTTGTTTTTCTAAATAATTTTTAAAATTTGAAAAGAACATAGGCATAATATAATGTCAAACCGTTAGATAAAAATCGAAGTAATGCACCGGCTTTGCGTGACACGTGCAATTATTAAAGAGGGCAAGAATGATAGCACTCTAAGAAGACGTGCTTACAGGAAACTGGAAACTAACGTAGTGACATAGTTAGAGACTAGTCTTTTTAATTTTTCCTCTCACGCACACGTTCGGTATCAGGCAAGGTTGCATAATAAAAATTTCAAATTGGCGCCATGGTTTGTTATGGCAGAGGAAGGTAAAGCGTTCATGTTAGGTCAATATCATGTCCCAATAACTAATACACATTAATACTAACTATTATAACCTTCATGTATGTTGCACGATATGTCCTATGTAACCTTGTTCTATCAGTTACCTTTGTTCTACCTCATTAACCCCCATCTACCCTAATTTACCCATCTTTTACTGCGTTTACCCCGATATACCCTTGATTAACCATGTTCTACCACGTTAACCGTCATCTACCCTAGGTAACCCATGTTCTACCACCTTTACCCCAATCTACCCTAGGTAACCCATGTTCTACCACTTTTACCCCCATCTACCCTTGGTAACCCATGTTCTACCACGTTTACCCGCATCTACCCTTGGTTACCCATGTTCTGTCACGTTAACCCTCATCTACCCTGGTAACACATGTTCTACCACGTTTACCCCCATCTACCCTAGGTAACCCATGTTCTACCACGTTTACCCCCATCTACCCTTGGTAACCCATGTTCTACCACTTTTACCCCCATCTACCCTAGGTAACCCATGTTCTACCACGTTTACCCCCATCTACCCTAGGTAACCCATGTTCTACCACGTTTACCCCCATCTACCCTAGGTAACCCATGTTCTACCACGTTTACCCCCATCTACCCTTG